GGTAGTAAAGGTGTAACACCAATGCCAATAACTCACACCTGGTGCCCAATGCATTTTCCATAAATGAAGCATAAACAGAACATCACCAAGATTTGGAATCAAACATACAAACATCCTTTTACTAGAGCCGTCAAAATGGGTTGTGGCCCGTGGGCCAACCCTGCCCACCTTGAAAACGGGTCGGGCCGAGCCAAAATAAATAACAATTTTATGGTAAGTGAGTAAATTTAAACCCGGCTCACTTTTACCCGGCCCACTTGGGCTGAACCCGTGGTGGGTCGGGCAGCCCAACAGCCCACTTATTTTTTTTTATTGAAACAGAACAGTCAGCCCAATAAGCAAGTCAACAGACATGAGACAACATAAAGTGGAAACACTAAAGCCCAAATTGTAAAACAAAAACAGTCAAAACAAAAACAACCCACGTGCAATTTAAAGTTTATGGCCTTTCATAATTCATGTTAGCTCACTATAGTATTGACGCACTCACAGTAACGAATAAGAAAGGTGTCATACCATGTTAGCTCACTATAGTAACGAATAAGAAAGGTGCCATTTTTGTTTCATTTATATAATTTATGTTTAGAAAAAATACATTTTTGGTTTCATTTATATTGTAATTGTAATATTAAATTATTAACAAATCAATTGTAACATTAAATTATTAACAAACTAATTGTAATGTTAAATTATTTGAAATTTTAAATTTTGTTTGTAATTTTTTAAAAAAAAAATTTGGTGGGTTGGTGGGCTGGCCCGTTTGACCCACCAACCCGTGGTGGGCCGGGCCGGGCCATAAAAATTCTGACAAAATAAAAAGTGGGTCGGGTTGGGTTGGCCCGTTTTTAAGGTGGGCCAAAGTGGGCCGGCCCACATGGGTCAATATCACTAATCTTTGTGCTAGTGTGTGGAGTGATGAGATCTTTATCCTTATCTTTATTTTTCTCTTTCCTCTTAGCCAATTCTTTGGAGGATTCTGAAATAATTTTCTTTTCAAAAGGTTTTTCTTCCTCCATGTGGTCTTTCTTAAGAGATCTAGAGTGGGAGCTTTCTCTTTTAGAAGATTTTCTCAATATTTGTTGTTCTACCCTTACACAAAGTTGGACCAAGTCATTTAGGTCCCTGTAGGGTAGTAGCTCCACTTGGTCTCTAATCTCTAAGTTAAGACCACTCATGAATCTGGCTACTGTAGTGGCTTCCTCTTCTCATTCTCAGAAGGTGGGACTATATGCTCTCTAAATAATCTAAGGAAAGTTCTATCTATTTTAGGATCAAATGGATGCAAAATGCCTGGATTATTCCTAGTCATGCACTACATGCAATCACATGCAACTACCACGTGAACAGTAGGGGCAAAATGGGAATTTTAATGCGAACTTGGAAACCATAAAAAAAAATGCACCAATATCATCCTAAAATCATTAGAAACTACCACAAAAAATTTCAAAGCAAAATTCAAAGCCTAACTATATGAACCACCTATGAAAAGTTTGGAAAAATAGGGAAATAAAACGTCAAAATTAGAAAAAAAAAATACAAAATGACCTCTTTTGAAAATATAGATGGGGACAAATAGATCTCATTTTTCTACACAATTTAAAGAAAAAAATTGCGCAATTCTGATAACTAGAGCAAAAGTTATGGCCTTTTGAAGTTTTGGAAAAATCTAGTCTCAAAAATTTTTGTATCTCCAAATCTGGACCACCTTGAGGGCCTCTGGTATTTTTCATGCAAAATATGGGTTGAAAGAAGTTACCACACAAAATTTGAGGCAAAAATAACAAGTCTAGATATCAAAACCAAAAATCACAATTAATTGGAAAATTCAGCTACTATTCAGCACTATTCACGTGCACCAAAATTGCACCAAATTTGCAACATTTTCACACAATTTCCCACAATTTTAGAACCGGAACAGAGGAGTAGTAGACAGTGAAAGGACTAAACAGTGAAATATCGTGAAATAGAACCCTTATGAGGCCAAATATGAGGATTGTTACATTAATAAATTTATTAAAACTAAAAAAAATTATAATTTTTGACAGGTAAAAAAAGGGTCGTAATATTAATTTAGAGGCAGTTGGTGCGACAATTGATGAAAGGGTCGCAATGTTAATATAGAGGCAATTAGTGCGTCGGGTGCTTCAAGGGTCCCAATTCCAATTTTGCGACGGTTTGTGCAATGGTTCTGATAACCGTCGCAAAATTGCCTGGTGACGGACAATTCTGCGACGGTTCCCAAACCGTCGCAATGTTGTCTTTGCGGCAGTTCTAACCGTCGCAATGTAGGCCATATAACCGTCGCAAAATCGTCATTTTCTTGCAGTGTCTAAGTGGCACACCTGAGCAATCGCCTATTGTTGTCTATACCTGATTCTCTTCGGAGTTCCTAACGATGTCTTATACTTGACCTGGATGAGATAGGTCAAACTTTGGATTCGGTAGGGTTTATGCCATCTAGACTGCTCAACCTCAGTTGTTGGAGATCTCCGGGTTGAAATGCATGACGGCGGATAAGGTGTTGATGAGGTGATTTGTTGTTGATATGAGTTGTACATATGTTGTTGTGTTGTTAAGTTGTGATTGTGTTGTATGTTGATCCTGTTAAGGATGATGATAGTGTTGTTATATTGTAAGTTGCTTTCAAACATGTGTTGTTGAGAGATGTGTAATACATGTGTTGTTTGTCTTATGTGTCGGACGCGAAGATGATTATATAGTTGTTGTATTGCATATTAAATTATTATGAGTTGTTTATTATCTCTAGCTTACCATTGCATATTTCCATGTGGTTTAGACTGCGATGATCATACGTTGTATGGGAGCAGGGCAGGGATAGACTGGGAGATAACTGCTAGAGGCCACAGGAGGTGCCTGGAGATGGATATTTTTTTTGTAGGATACCTTATAGTAGCATATTTTGGTTATATATATAACTAGTTGCTATTGGTTGCTTGATTATCAACTTTTGTTGTAAATGTTTTATTATGCTATTTTAGTATATATATTCTAGTAGTGTGTAGTGTTGTTTCGTAGTGTGACGGCCATGACGGGTCGTTACAAAAGTTCAATGATCCATTCGTTAAATTTAAAGTTCTTAATGCATAAATTAAGTCTGTCAATTTAAAAAAAATAAAAATTTTGAAAAATTGAGTCGTAAAAAAAACATTGTTACACCTATTTTATTCGTCATCTCACTCATATTAAATGTTTTTTTTTGGACATATTTATATTTTAAGATTTTGAATTTCATTAAAAGAGTGATGGAAGAGCATGGACCAAGGGTTCAACCACTAGAGTTATGGCCAGGAGACTACTTGAAGACTTGACTGCTTCAGAGCTTAGTGGGCCCAATGGGCTTGGTGGGCCTAGGGTGCTTCTCACTTGGGCTTTACTAGATTGACACCATGTTTATATTGCAAATTCATAGAATAGGGATTTACTTTGTTTTGGTCTTGTATTTGACCATAGATTAGGGTTTGTACACTTTGGGCTTATAATTGGGCTTCATGAGCCTTTGGGCTTTTGACACCCAATATTGGGCTCATTCTCTTTCTTGTAATTTTTCCTATTCATTGTATTTCATTGACCATTGTATTTAGGTCATTAGATTAGGATTTAAGGAGGATTTTTAGTTTAAGTGAATTAGACAAAACTAGATTTAATTTAATATGCATTTAAGTTGCATTTTGAGTCACATGGATGGCGCCACCTTGGCTGAAAATGTGTGACTCAAATTTAACCCTAAATGCACACTAAATCAAACCTAAATACACCTAGCACTCATGGGACCGGTCATACACATGTGTGACAAGATTTGAATTCAAATTCAAATTTGAATTCAAATCTTGGCGCCAATGTGGAGGCCTCACATGTGGCGCCAAGTGTAACCTAAATTCCAGAAATATAAAAACTCTCTCCTCACACATTGTACTCACTTTTGATATATGAAATTTGAGATCATTCTTCAGCCCAAGTTTCCCTCACGAGTCACCGAAATTATTGCCTTCAAAACCCTAGGAACCTTACCTTAGTTCCTACCTTTTGAAATGAGCAATCTTTTGAGCCTTCGAGCTAGGATACTTCCATCCTTAGTTTAGGCTAATTCTATCTGTGAACATCATCCCTTCAAGTGTTCTTATATTCGATTTCAATCTCCATTGAAGAGATCCAAGCATTGCACTTCTCCTTCCTTTGCCATCAAAGAGCCTTGAGTTGTAGTAGAAAATCTTGAAACTTTGAATCGTAGAAAAGTCTATTACAATATTTTATTTATCATCTTACTCATGTTACATATGTTTTTGGGTATATATATTTGTGAATTAAAGTTTCATTAGAGGAGTTTGATTGCATAAAAGTTTGAAGCTTTGAGTTACAAAAATCTTTACTAAAAATGCTTTGCTCGTCATCTAGATCATATTGGATATGTTTTTAAAACATGAAATATTTGAAATTTTGGATTTGTTTCTAATATTTGGGATTTCAAATTTTAATTAATGAGTCTTGAATTTGAAGAAATACTAGAATACCCAAAAATAATCGATTATAAGTGAAAAATATATATTTTGTAATGATTTTTTATGTTGAATGTCATTAGTATAATATTAAAATTAACATAATGATATGTTTATAAATATATCAAAATATTCGCAATAGAATGTAAGTATGTTAAATTTTTTATATTTATAAATATATCAAAATATTTACTATAAAATGTAGGTGTCAATATATTAAATTCTCAACATATCGTATTAATGTTGACCATTTAACATTAAAAGTAAACTTTTTACGTCGCTTGATAACCCATCATAAAACATGCGAATATTATATATCATCAAAATTTATGTGGCGTCTCAAATTAATATAAAATATCCAAATCATTCTAAATAAAATATCTCATCTGCGCTTATAATTTATGTTATTAAATCAATTTAATAAATAGAACAGATCATTAAACATATTGAAAAGAAATATCCTATACCCAACATAAAGAGTATATATAAAATACTCCAATATTACATTTTATATAAGGAAACATTATTACATATACATATACTACACACAATCATACTTAATTGACATATATCACAAGCTGCATACAGAGGACACAAACTTAAAACAAGGGGTGATAGAACACTATCACCAATTTACCATCCCTTAATACTATTAAGTAACATTTATATATTTAATGTAAATATATTATTGTAATAATATTATTACAATAACCAGGTTGATGACCTCATAGTGATAATCAACATCATCGTCAGAAAATAACTACGGGTGACCTTCTATAGACTTAAAGGTAGATAGTAGAAACTGTATATAAGTATTTAACTAGACTAGTCTTAATTGATGATATAACTGTTGTTCTCCGATGTGTCTGGTGCAAGTAGAGGAAAATCAAGGGACATAGCAGCTTCTGTCCAGATGGAATCATCAAAAACTGGTGGTGTCCATAGACGAAACTCTGCCTCGTTCTCCAAAGGTTTTGGATTGGTGTCCAAAGGAAGAGGCACCATGGTGTTGGTGTTGGTGTTGAAATTGGAACATGCAGCCATGTTGATGTTGATGTTGTTTTGAGAAGAGTGAGAGTGAGATTGAGGTTTGATAGAGAGGTGTGGTAAATTGAGCTTGGCATCTGAGCCATAAAGCCTGCGTGCTGCAGCATCATAAGCCAAAGCAGCCTGGTGAGAGGTCTCAAATGTGCCGAGCCAGATGCGGGCACCACGGTTGGGTTCGCGTATTTCAACGACCCATTTGCCCCATGTTCTCTGCCTCACACCTTTGTAGGTGCAACTCGCGTTCTCAGGTCCACCTTTGCCTCTCATGCACCCCTTTCTCGACCTGCTCGGCGCTCGTTTCTTCACCTGCTTCCTCTCCTCAATTCCCACGCCTGATTTCATCATTCTCGATGATTCTAACTTACAAAAGTATAGAGATAAGCTCAAGGGCTTAAAGAGGGAATGTTTTTATATTGCAAAAACAAAAGAAAGTAAATACTATAGCTTAGGTATCCAGTGAACTGAAACGTGGCCCATGATGCTACTTGGCATCATGAATCAAACAGATAGTGTCCTCTGTGAGCCTCACTGTTGATCTCTCTGAGACACACTTGGCCTTCCCTTTTCTTCCCATACTAGCTAATGTGGCAAACGCCCAAGACAAAACAAAACAAATTCAAATTGTTACAAGACTTTTTGTTTAATTGGTTATGAAATCTTTGAAATTGTTCTCACTTTGCTTATTTTTCTCTGAAATGACTAATTGTGTTAGGATTGTTCTACTTGTTTGATACGTATAATATAGTTAAAATTATAATTTTTATAATTTGTAAAATTTAAAAAGTTAAATCAACAGTTATTTTTAGAAAATTGTATGTAATTTTAACAAAACATATTCTTTTATTTTAAATTAATTTATATCATATCTTATTGAAGTATTTCAAATACATGAATAATAATATAATAATTTAATATTTATTATTTCAATATGCATAAAATATTGAATAAAATTAAAATTTATTTTATTTTACTCTCTTATTTTATCTTATCTTCACTATATCAAACTAACTTAAGTTTAAATTTTACACCGTTGCATTCATGAAATCATGAAGTTGTCAAGAACAAATTAAGTTATCAACAAAAATCATATGAATCTTTTTTTAATTAGAATAACTCACTAACAAAAGTTGTCATTAAAATCATTTTTATTGAATTCATTAGTTTAACATCCTTTTAAACATTCAAAATTGATAGAACATGGACTTGAATCACTTTTCCTATAAAAATATAGAAAATAAAATAAGCGAATTAATAAAACAATATAAATTTTAAAAAAAATATATTTAAACAACTTTTAGATATTATTATAGTTTATATCATATATCACATTTATTTGTGTTAAATTTGATTTGATTCATGGGTAAATTATGAATGAGACATTTTCTATTATTTTGGAAGACAAATTATATTTATACTTAATTATAAAGAAAAGCTAACTAGTTAGTATTTTCATCATAATTGAATTAGAAGCGGTTAAAAAGAAATAAATTTTTAAATATTAAAAAAAAATATTAAGTTATTGTGGAGAAAAGAGAGATATTAGAAGGTGTTAAATAGTGTTTATAAAAAATTCAACATTTTTTAAACAATGAAGTAGTAATAAAATCATAAAAGAGAAAACAAAGTGTAGAGTAAGAATAACATACGATATTTTTACACTGGTTCATTTCAACCACTGACATCCAGTTCTTGATTAATCCAATCAAGTTTCATTATCTTTTACAAAGATACAAGTATTATTTTACAAATTACTTATGAAACAACTTAAGTATTCTTTAACTTCTCTCTTTAAGCAACTCTCAAAATATTTTTTTAACACAAAATCTCTCCAGGCTTTAAATAATAAAGTATTCTTTTACAGTCAAGTCTCTTCAGCTTTCTAACAACCAAACATTTTTTCAATCAAGTCTTTTCAAGTTCAAAATAATAACACAAAGTTAAAATTGGGCAAACTAATTTTGTTTCATCTTACTATCAAGACGTGATATAATCTATTAAGTCCAATATTTCTTTTAGAAAGAATGAATATATTTTTTTACAATGAATATGTGTTCTCATAAATCTATCACCTTTTTTTTTTAATCTTCAAGTTTCTTTATATATGGATATTTTATGAAGATGATCATTGCAAAAAAAATTTTAGCATCTCTTATAGACTTGTTTTGTCTTCATTTTTGTTCCTTATAGACAAAAGTGTCTATTGATACATTAAATATTTTTCACTAAATTATCACTTCTTATTTGATTAATGAATCTATTTATCACCTTTAAGGTATTAAAAGTGAGGAACCATATGTGTGTTGAAAACAATTTTTCTTGTCATTTTCGTTGTTTGTGGGATATGTTAGTCTTTTTTTCTGACAAAAAACATGTATTTAGTTCCTTTAGTTATTAAATATCATAAATGATATAAGTTAAAAACATATTTTTCAAATGAATTTCATCTATGAAACCTAATGTCAAAATAACTAAACGTCTTAATCAGATCATCTTATAAACATTCATCTTAAAGAAAAACATTTTCCTCAAAACATGTATATGATTGCTATCATTAAAACTTGAAATTCTAAAGAGTTTAAAATCAATTTTTTAACTTAACATTTATGATTTTATACAACTGATTAATCATAAAAATATAATATATATATTCTTAAAATACTCATTATACTATATTTCATTAACTATAAAAGATAATTTAAATATTTTAAAATACATTATAACTAAAGATTTGTCAATTCATAATTCATTTTCAATGATTCATTATAATTTTTTTTAAGATAATCCATGTATTTTTTTTTTATTAAAATTAATATTATTTGTGAACTTTTTTAATAAGGTTATAATTATATATAT